AAAAAAAAAAAATAATAAATAAATAAAAATGGCATAGAAAATTGTAAAATGGAAAGCTTACTCAACCGGGAAAATGAAATGGAAAAGGAAAGCACAAGATCCATATATCTAACAAAAATCTATCATATAAGAACCAAGTACCAAAAATAAATGCTCGTAAATCATTAAATAATATACCAAAAAAATACAGGAATCGTTAATTATCAAGGTAAACTTATCAGTTCTTTAATTTTTCTTATTATACTTCGATGCCATTTTCCTAGTAACTCTATTTTAGCCAAATATGAAGTTATACTTTGGGATCTCTTTTTTTTTTTTTTAGTTGGTTTTTATCTTTTTTTTTTATTTTTTTTTATTATTTATTTCACGATCAATTTAAATACAAATAAAGCACATTGGAACAAAATCGCACAATCACAAGAGTGTAAAACTACTTTGTTTTATTGGAATTGTTGTGGTTGAGATTGGGGTTGTGGTTGTTGGTATTGTGGGTTAGCATACTGTGGTTGAGGTGGATATCCGTTGAATTGAGGAGGGATTTGTTGTTGAAATTGAGGAGGATAGCCAGGGTATTGTTGCGGTGGCATCTGACCTTGACTTGGATGAACTTGTTGAGGAGGGATTGGACCATTTGGTGCCTGTTGAGACAATCCACCGGCATTAGGGTTTACCTCAGGTTGGCCCTTGTATTCATAACCACTCTTTTTATGAACGGTCTCGTTTCCCTTTGGTAATTGATCAATTTTGAAAGGTCTTGGAACCGCTGCTTCGTTTTCAGCAACGTACAAGGACTTATCAATGGTAGCTGGAATTGGTTTAATTTCTGTACCCAATTCTTGTTCAATTTTGTACAAATTATAACGGTCATTCCAACTCATCAAGTTAATAGCCAAACCTAAATGACCAAATCTACCAGAACGACCAATTCTATGTAAGTAGGTTTCAGCTGTCTTTGGGAAATCAAAATTGATGACAACGTTAACTGCCTGGATATCTATACCTCTGGTTAATAAATCGGAACAAACCAAAACACGCACTTTGCCTTGTCTAAATTCGTGGAATACTTTATTTCTAGCATGTTGAGGCATCTTCGCGTGAGAGTAGTAACAGGAGTAACCTAATTCAGTAATTTTTTTGGCTAAAAGCTCAACACGGTTTGTGGAGTTACAAAAGATGATTGCTTGATTAATTTGTAATTTACTGAATAAAGTATTCAAACAGTGTAATTTTTGCTTTTCTTCAACGAAAGCGTAGAATTGTGAAATACCTCTCAAGGTTAATTCATCCATTAAATTAATTTCGTATGGTTTGGTCAAATGCTGATCCATAAAGGATTTGACTGCTAATGGGAAAGTTGCAGAGAACAACAATGATTGTCTGGTGGCAGGAAAGAAGGCTAAAATCTGCTCGATAATACCCTTAAACTCTCTGGACAACATCTTGTCCGCTTCATCCATAACGAATAATGGGCATTCTGATAAGTCTGCCACCTTTCTGGAAGCCAAATCTAAAACTCTACCTGGCGTACCGACCAAAACGTGAACTGGATCGTTCAATCTCAAAATATCATCTCTTAAAGAAGTCCCACCAGTGGTGACCATACATTGAAGACCCAAATGTTTTCCCAAGGTTCTAACAACTTGTGATGTTTGTAACGCCAATTCTCTAGTTGGGACTAAAATCAATGCCTGGATCTTATTTACTTTCGGTCTAACTTGTTGCAAGCATGGAATAACAAACGAAGCAGTCTTACCCGTCCCGTTCTTTGCCCTGGCCAATATATCTCTACCTGCAAGTGCCATTGGGATCGATTCTTCTTGCACTGGCGATGGTTTTTCAAATCCCGCCTCGAAAATACCCATCAATAATTCTCTCTTTAACGGAAAGTCCTCAAATGTCTTCCCCTTCGTATTTAACACATCTTCTGTTTGTGGTCTAGTATCCTTTTGCGGAATATTTAATGATTCTTTCCAGTTTCTTAATCATATTAGTATACCATTTCTTTTTATTGATAGAAACAAGTTCTGATCACCAATTTATAAGCTTATAAAACTTTCAAAAAATAAAATACTTACTGATCTGTCATATCGTATGGTTATGAAAATATGTATATATCGATATGTTTAGCGTTTAAAATATTCGACTTGTAAAAGTTTTGTTATAGGTATAATACAAGTAATTAATGCAGTGAAATTTAACAATAAAGCACGAGTTTATTCAAATAGTTGTGCAAATATATCTGGTTGTGTTAGAAACGTAATCTAGTATTAATTAAGATTGATTAGTATATAGACCAAAACTATACTCTCTGTTCATAGACTATTAATTTGACAGTCTTCGACTTCGAGGTTTTTGGTAAACCCACGATTCATATTCTCTATATGTTACCCGGATAATAAACTATTTATCATACTATAGACGTATACATGGATAAATGGACATACAGTGGTAGATGGTAGTATGGAGTAAGGAGAGATGTAGTTTATTCTCTATCTATTGTTCTTTGAAGAATGAAATTCCCAAAATTGTGCCCAAAATAGGCATTATCACAATTGAGTTGACTGTTGACACTGTGTGCCTTAGATATTTTGCATTAAATAGACACTACGTACTTGTATTAAGTACCTCGTATGTGTACAAAGTATACGATGTCTTATCTTGTAGTTATATCGAAGGTCGGATCCACTGGCGTGAATTCCTTATGTTGCACTAATTCATAGAGCGTTGTTGCAATCTAGTGTGACGATACCATAATATTATTCGTCATCGTTCTTGGCAATGAACTGGGCAATTTTTTCATTCACCTGTGATTCATTAACCATTTTGGTAAGCATGCCTTTCATTATATCAGATTCCTTAACGTCTGGTATGAGTAAATTGTTCTCTTGTAGCTGGGCCATCGTCAAGTTAAACGGATATACACAAGACTCTGACGAACACAGTATTAGTGCCAAAGATGGTTGTAGCAAGTGCTGCTTCATGGGAGAAGAACATAATGGACATTCCATGGCGAAATAACGAATACTAAATTATCTCGGGTCAAATATTTGATCACCTCATCACTCTAAATACAGTGCGATTTTTCAACCAAAGATAAAGAAAGGCAAAAGTACTCTTCTGGTTGTTTAGTCATAGTGATATAAATATATAAGATCATGAGATTATCAGCAGATACGGTTAAAGCATTGCAACTGGATGCATCTAACATTAGAAATATCTGTATTTTAGCGCATGTTGATCATGGTAAGACATCTTTAAGTGATTCGCTTCTTGCTACAAATGGGATTATCTCACAAAGAATGGCTGGTAAAGTTAGATATTTGGATTCTCGAGAAGATGAGCAATTGAGAGGTATCACAATGGAAGCTTCGGCGATATCGCTTTACTTCAAAGTCATGCGTAGGAAAGAACTGAAGGAGGGTCAAACAGAACCTGAAACTGAAATTAAAGAGCATTTGATCAATTTGATCGATTCACCGGGTCATATTGACTTTTCGTCGGAAGTTTCTACTGCATCGAGATTGTGTGATGGTGCTGTAGTGTTAGTTGATGTTGTTGAGGGTGTTTGTTCTCAAACCATCAACGTTTTGAGACAGTGTTGGGTTGATTCATTAAAGCCAATCTTGGTTTTAAATAAGATTGACAGGTTAATAACCGAATGGAAATTGACTCCTTTGGAGGCATATCAGCATTTATCAAGAGTTATAGAGCAAGTTAATTCTGTTATTGGTTCATTTTATGCGGGAGAAAGGATGGAAGACGATATGATTTGGAGGGAAAAGGGTGCAATTGGTGAGTTTGTTGAAAAGGATGATGAAGATATCTACTTTTCTCCTGATAAAAATAATGTTATATTTTCGTCAGCTGTTGATGGTTGGGCATTTTCTATCAATACCTTTGCAAAAATTTATCTGGCGAAATTAGGATTTTCTCATAGCGTTTTATCGAAAACTCTATGGGGAGATTTTTATCTTGACATGAAAAACAAGAAGATCATTCCAGGTAAAAAACTTAAAACAACAAATGCTTCAGCCAAGCCATTATTTGTGTCTTTGGTTTTAGAACAAATATGGGCTATCTATGAGCATTGCATCATAGAGAGAAATCAAGAAAAGCTTGAAAAAATTATTGAAAAATTAGGAACCCAAGTAAACCCCAGAGATTTGCGTTCAAAGGAATATAAAAAATTATTGAATTTGATTATGTCGCAATGGATTCCGGTAAGTCATGCCTTATTGGGTGCTGTAATAGACTCTATTCCAAGTCCAATTATAGCGCAGCAGAAACGAATAGGCAAGTTATTGGACGAATGTATTTATAATGCGGTAGATGATACACAAGAAAAGTCTAGTTTGCTTGATCCCGCATTCGAACATGCTATGCTTAATTGCGATTCATCTGATGCAGAGAACCATACTATGGCGTATGTTTCCAAAATGATTTCGATTCCAGAAGCAGATTTACCAAAAGATATTGCGTCAGGTTCTGTTTTAACAGCAGATGAAATCATGGAAAGAGGAAGAAAGGCAAGAGAATTAGCTAAAAAGGCTTCAGAAGCGGCGGCTGTTTTACAAGATAGTAAAACGCAGGATGAATTTAGTTTACCTCAACAAACCAAGGATCCATTTGAATGGGAATTCGAAGAGGATGATTTCGAAGGAGAAGACACCGATGATGATGAAAACCAAAGCACGCCAGAAACTCTCATAGCATTTACTCGTATATATTCGGGGTCTTTAAGCAAAGGTCAAAATATCACCGTTGTTGGTCCGAAGTATGATCCTTCTATACCCAATGACCACGAAAATAATAAAGATCAAATATCGTATAATATTGAAATTAAAGATTTGTTTTTGATCATGGGAAAAGAGTTTGTTAAAATGGATAAGGTCCCCGCTGGTAATATTGTAGGAGTTGTTGGTCTTGATTCAATAGTGTTCAAAAATGCAACCTTATGTTCAGAGATTAAGGACAAGCCTTATGTTAATTTAGCTTCTTCCTCAACATTAATTCACAACAAGCCAATTATGAAGGTCGCTGTTGAGCCTACGAATCCAAGTAAATTAGGTAAATTGGAAAGAGGACTTGAAATGCTCTCTAAAGCGGATCCTATATTGGAATGGTACGTTGACGATGACTCGGGTGAAATAATTATGTGTGTTGCAGGGGAACTTCATTTAGAAAGAAGTTTGAAGGATCTAGAAGAAAGGTTCGCTAAAGGATGTGAAGTTAGTGTGAAAGAGCCTGTTATTCCCTTCAGAGAAGGACTTGCAATTCATCAAGCTGATAAGCGCGACGATGATGATGATGAAGAACTTACATTAGAAGGGATTGATTTGGATTTTGAAACCTTCCCATTACCTACAGAAGTGACTAAGTTCTTAATCGATAACGAATCTGATATCACTAATATGGTAAACGTCAATCGTAAAACAGATACATCATCAGACAACTTGTTGCAATTTAAAGATAAGCTTGTTGCTGCATTCGAAGAAAGCGATGATGCTAACCGAATTAAGCAAGAAACAGGATTCAAACTGCTTGGAGATCTTGTTGAGAGCATCGTTTCATTAGGTCCAAAGAGAGTGGGTCCTAATATTCTTATTGAGAATAAAGCCAATAATAACAAAATGAGACGTTTATTCAACAAAAGCACTGATAATACCAAATTTGAATACGAGAACAATGTATTGAATGGATTCCAACTTGCAATGAACGAAGGACCTTTGGCATCTGAATGCATGCAGGGTGTTTTAGTTGTACTTCGCAAGAGTGAAACAACCCAGGATGCTAATACTGATGAATCTAAAATCTCCAATCTTCCCGGGAGAGTTATCACCTTTACTCGTGATTTGATTCATCAATCTTTCTTGCTGAAAGCACCTCGTTTATTCTTGGCTATGTACACATGTGATATTCAGGCCTCAGCAGAAGTTTTGGGTAAGGTGTACGCTGTTGTTCAAAGAAGGGGTGGTTCCATTATATCAGAAGAAATGAAGGAAGGTACTCCATTCTTCACCATTGAAGCACGTATCCCTGTGGTGGAAGCATTTGGTTTCTCTGAAGATATAAGAAAAAAGACTTCTGGTGCTGCAAGTCCACAGTTAGTTTTCGACGGTTTTGATATGTTAGATATTGATCCATTTTGGATTCCACATACAGAAGAAGAGCTTGAAGAACTCGGTGAGTTTGCTGAAAGAGAAAACGTTGCGAGAAGATACATGAATACAATTAGAAGACGTAAAGGTTTGTTTGTTGATGAAAAGGTCGTCAAGAATGCGGAGAAACAAAGAACTTTGAAGAAGGATTAGTCTAGTTGTCTTTAGATGTAATAAATTATTTAAGTTCAGGTTTGTGTCACTTAGTCTAATCCACAAACTTCTCTAACGAGGCCATCTAAAAAAAATTGTAGTAATATATCGCCATAATATCTTCAAAGACTGGAATTAAATCGTAGATTCAGATAGTAATTGATGGAAAGATCCCAGATAAGAAGCAGACAGATTTATATGTTTCAAATATAATGCCTATTAAAGAATCGAATTCTAGTCTGGTCGAAAAGGAAGCAAACGCACTTAAAGCACAAAACCCCAATCAACATAACCAAGAACCAAATAGTAATGGTAAGAATATAGCAGGTAAGCTTGATCCACAAAAGTTGTTTGATTTGGTTTCCAAAAACTATGATACTTGGCTGCAGGTAATGAGTAAGCAGTTTAAGGATGAAGAAAATTTTCTGCCGTTTCCTAAAGATGAATCGATGGATAAAAATTCACAACCGATTTTCAACTACACATTGTTAGAGGCGCTCGAGAAGGCGTCTTCAGATTTTTCAGAAAAAATGAATGATATAAATATAGAGAATGGGAAGAAAGAGGTACCGAAAGTTGAACAAGATAAATACAAATCACTACAAACATCTCACGAGGTGGAAAATTCAAATGTGGAAAAACCTTCTTCAACCTCATGTGAAGCTTTATTAAAAGAGTCAGAGATCAACTTTCTTCGGAACAAAATAACGCAAATGATAGCATCTAATAATTTCTCAATAAATAATAACTACAAGGCCCCAAAGCGAGAAGGGTTCTCGCTCTATGATACGCGAGATGAAGAAGGGTTACACGACGGCAATACGGATCAGTTTTATGACGATGATCAGGATGATTATGATTTGGAGGAAGTGCAAGGTGACTTTCTGTATGATTATCCGGGGCAACGTCATATAGAAGTGGAATTGAATACAGCACCTGAATGTGAAACACATGGGTTTGAAGAATGTGATTGTCCGATATTTCATGCAGGTAGAGGAAGTGAATATACTAATGGCTCATACGGTTTTGATGAAGATGAAGATGGCCCATCTTGTGAGTTCACGTTCGAGTATGATCATAAAGGAAAGTTAGTGCCCACATATAGTAACGTGGAAGAAAAATTAAGATTAATGAACTTGGAGTCTAGAATTTCATCAAATGCTAATCGTAAGAACTTGCAATTGCCTTCAATTAATGAAATAAGTGCCGGCGTGTCTCATAATACAAATAATTCATCATCAAAAAGTAAAAAAAAGAATAAGAAGAAAAAACGAACCAATTCTAATACGACGAGTTCGAAGCAGTCAAAAACAACTTCGGATCAATGCAACAACACAAATGTACATAGCAATCCAGTATTTGGTTCTTGTTGCTTATTTTGCGAGTATGAAGTAATCTATGGCGCAAAGCCTCGCCAGATGATAAAATGGTACGACCAGAGAGTCCAGAAAGAAGAGCAGAGAAGGCTAGAAATAAAAACAAAGCTTGAAAATGCCAAACTGAGAGCATTAAGGAAGCAAAGAGAGTTAAGGCAAAAGCAATTACAGCAAAATAGCTTAGAACATCCACCTTCACATACAAAAGCAGAAGATACTAAAATACCAAACAGCCCCAAAGATGAAGTTCGACTCGATAGCTTGGAAGTTAACAATGACCTCAAATAGTAACTAGTAATATCCAAACAATTTTACTAAAGGTATATATATCTGTATATTAGTCATACCTAGCACAGTTTAATAGTACATAGCTTTTTTGGCGCACTAATGAAAAATATATCCCTCCACGACAAGGGTCACATGAAATTGATCTTGTGGATTGGGATACGGATTGCTATCTTGTACTAGGAAATGGGTATAATAAAGATGATTTCGTCGTTAAAATGAGATAAAAATTAATCATATTGGTTATATTGGTTATTTTTTATTGCTAATTATTAAAATATCATGATATCAAGAAGTGCTTCCGAAACACCTGCAATAAGAGGTGGATCATTTACCCCAGGACCAAGCCATATGAATAGTTCGATTACGTGGGTCAAAGATTGGTATATTCCCGAGATAACTAACACATCATTTCAGAACAATGGAGGTAGTTTTGAACCTCAAAGTATAAAATTGAAGGGATGGCACAGAACTAGTGTTGATTCGAACAATAATCCGGCTGTGAAATTTGATTCTGATGATACGTTGGACTTAAATAACTGGAAGTACTATAAAGTAGTGGCAATTACGAACCATTCAGAAGATGAAGGCGTCGCAGAAAATAGTAATGGTGAAGGTGATATTGCATCGAAAGATGAATTAAGTTCAGCCTTGAGCATCAAAAATAAGGATGAAGAAATTGTTTCATTATCGGGCATTACAGACACCTAATATTGGTTGTTAAATATATTATATACGTTAAAGGTATGTATTCCTCTTCTAATTCGTTCTATAAGTATTTAGGATAGAATAGCTAATTCTTCTTGTTAGCCTGTTTCAAACAGATAAAGCACATTGCTCGCCTAGAAAGATTAACAGCTTGTTGCAACTCGCATTGTTTCTCAAAATTCCAGCTGTCTAGCTCTGGTATAGAAGTAACGTCGATTCCTTCTCTTTCTAAGCTCTGGAATTTCTTTCTTACATTCTGTAAGCGTATCATTTCTCTTGGATCACCCAGCGGTGAACATACAATCAACATGGCATTTTCTGGTAACGAAGAGTATATTCTTTTGAGTCTTTCATTGAGCTTGCGAAATATATAGCTCTTATCTTCGTCTAAAACGTCGTCCGATTCAGATTTCTCTTCTGATATCCCAAGATACCCATCATACGTCTTTGGGATCGGGGACCAGCCTTTATTAAATTCAAGTTCTCTCAATTTCAAAAGAGTTAAATCTGTATCATCAATTTTATCTGATAGGTGATCAATTGCTTCGTCATCGTTACTAATTTGTATTTTCTGTAATTGATTTTGAGAATCCTTAGAATTAGTATCACGAACTGGAGTATAATCTATAAACAAGGATTTTATGGGATCATGAGATGAGCTGCTTTTGATACTTAAACGATCCTTATTAATTCTTTCAAATAATGAGATTTCATTCATGTTTTTTCCAAAATATTCACCTTCCTGTAATTTCACCTTAATTAAATCTAGACATGCTTTTGCGTCTTCTACTGATGAGTGGCCATCACCCACATTCTCACCTTCTTGGATCAGCCTATTCAAATATTTTTCAGAAAGCCATTTCAAAGAAGGTTTCAGGGGAGGGCCTCTGTGGTGTTCATATACGAGGGCTGTATCAATGATTCTTGGGTGTTTTATGTGCATAACATTCAAATCAGATTCCAATGAATGACCAATTAGAATATCATCAGTTGATACAATGCTGATTATCTTCTCTTGAATATCATTCAAGTTAGTTGTAATGCCTGCTAATTTTGCTTCCGTAATTCCAGAATATTTTGTGAGATAATCTGTGATAATCTCTTCTGGTTTGACTAACAGATCCAATACAATTTCGCCTTGAAAATTGATTAGTGATATACGTGTCAATACCTTACCCGATGCCGATTGACAAAATTCACAATCCAATGCAAAAGTATGCGACCCTTCATGGTCAAAACTCTTGGTTTGAACCCAACCATTCGAATCTACGTTAATAGACTCACCATCATCAATTAAGCTAGAATGAATAGGATAGTTATTTTGACTCATGCTTTCTTTACTCAATAAAAGATCCCACAATGTTAATTTAGCCTTTCTCAGGCTATCTATCTGATCTTTCTTTTCTTTCTTAGTCAAAGGTACATTAGTGAGCGTGTGTAACGCCAGAAATAAGGAATCCTTACTACCTGGTGCAGTTACTTGAATCATTGAGTCAAAATTTTCTTTAAAAAACTCTAATTCCTCAATTTTCAAAGTTTGAGACATGGGTATAAATTTATCATCTGCATAAGGAGAATTTGGTTCTAAAAACTCGTCTGTGACCAATCCTGGAACAAAGCAGAATACTATCTTTTTTATTTCTGTTACTTGTTTTAATCTTATCCAAGATAAATTATGATTTAGATCTTTACTGAAAATATGAATGATCAAATCTCGAATATTTGTGAGTGAAAGCTTCTTGATAGATGGATGCTTTTTGTCTGCACTTGCGCTTGTAACTAACTCGAATGAGGGTGGTTCTTGCGATTTTTTTAACTTCTTTTTGTGAATTTTAGTCTCAGGTTTCAATAAGCTATTCTTGTTATTATTAGATGTGACAGAAGATGCTGATGACCTTCTTCTTTTTGGTCGATCGCTGAGAGATTGTTTTAATCCCTCATATTTGTCTTTGAATCCACTCAATGATGTGTCGACATCTGTTTCTTCATTTACAGACGTGATTGAAACTGCTGAATCTCGTCTACTTCCATTCGATGCCTTCAAGAATTCTGCTACCTGATGACGGGGATTTTCTTCCTCTTCCAAGTTGGAAATCGAAATTGATAGCCTAGCTGTATTTCTACTAAGTGGGTCGTTTGCTTCAACTTCTGGCATAACACTTGGAATAAATTGGATGTAACATTATTGTTAGCTAGTCTTTTTTTGTTTTCAGGTAGACTCTGAAATATTGTCGGAGATGTTCCGCGCTTGTATACAGGGTGCCATCAAGTTTACATATATAATATAGTGACAAATAAGTTATGATTCCTATTGTAGATTCTCTAAAACTTCTTCAAGTGATATACCTTGCTTCCTCCGTATATCATGAGTTTTCTTTGTGTTCTTGTAATCAGTCAAAAGCAATAAAAATAAATCATTTTTACATTCTTCAGCTTTATGGTGTTCTGCTGTATTTTGGTTAACATACGAGTTCGAGAAGTCTAAGTAGGCATTGTACACTCGATTGAGCTTATTGAATTCATTTTCATTTGAAAGAATATTGTACTTTGATTTGTCCTTTTCATGGACTATGGGTGTGGCCAATATTTGTATTTTGCTCCATGAATCCCACCCTTTTGGTGACAAGAGACATATATGTAAATATTCACCATTAACGCTGTGATCTGATTCATATATAGCAATCGCCTCGGGTTTGTTCAGTTGGATTCGTGGTGTTTTGGTTGTGTGCTGATGGCCAATTTGCAGCAAAAAGTGCAATAGAACTTTTTCACTGGTAATAAGTGCTTGCGTGTTCGATGTACATACGAACGTGCCACCATGTTTTAAGGATATAAACCTAAATAGCTGTTGTAAGAATACGCTTCTCGGTGATAAATGGTCATTCTTAAGCTCTGTGTTATCAAGCACCACAATTAATTCAAATGATAAGGGCATATCACAACACCCCGGAGGAAAGTTTAATTCCCCATCCTCTAGTCCGTACCCGTTTGTATCCTCCCCGTATTGTATCTTCTTTAAGTAATAGGCGTATTCTTCTGCAAATTGGTTCTTTTCTTGTAGCCTTCCCTCACTGTTATCAAAGGAATTTAAAAACTCAATTGCATGTATAACATCCTCTGTGTCTCCTAGAACTGTTATTACGGTTACTTTTCTGTGTGTATTCTGTGATAATTCTCTCCTAAGATATTTATCGAAGATGTTTAGGTTAGAAATGATATAGATATCATAGTCATTTGTATATAAATAATTTATAGACAGGGTTGTATATTGATGTAATATTATTATTATATCCTTCTGGGAAGGTCTTGTATCAAAAATGGATGTACTCATGTTAATATGTATCTCTTGAAGTGTATTCGTCTATTAGCTAGAGCTTAGACTGTTGTTATAGTATTTTGTTTTTTGTGTAATTTTTTTAACAGGCTATATCAAATGATCATAAAAACTACAAATATACATTATTATTCCAGTTGTATCGATAGTAGTCCCAGCTATGGATAAACCTAGGAAACAAGTCAAAGGAGGAGATTCCACTGCTGAAGGATCTTATAATCAATTTATTGGAGATTCATCGAATTTACCCAATGACCAGATAATTAATGATATATTCCTGGCTCGTAAGACCCAGCATGCTGAAGATGCTGTAGATTATGAAGATATTGATGAATTAGCTGATGATGATGAAATCAATTTTGATGAAATCCAAGACGCAAGTATTTCTCAGCGACATGTAGATGATAACGAAGATGAGCTTCAAGGACAAGCCGATGAACAATTTGACAATATGTTTGGAGACGATGGCAATGAAGAAAATCACATAGATGAAAATAAGTTTGGATCGTATTCTGACAATAACAATCGTTTATTTAATGACTTGAATGAAAACAACCATTCGATAGATGATGATGGTTTTCATGATTTGAATATGGGTGGAATATTTGAAGATGATATACAAAATAAGGAGAATAATTCTGCACAATCAGATAGAAAACGATCACGTACATTGGAACTGGAAGAAAGTAGAAGACTCAAGAAACAAAAGCTTGCAAGAATAGTAAAGAAACTAGAAGAAAGAAATACGAAGAGAAGTTTGGAGTATTATTTCCCGAATTATGCTAAGGACAAGCCCTTTAACAACCACACATTGTTTCTTCCACCTCCGAAATACTACTCCTATCTTCGTCCCCCAATAGCATTAAAATCCAACGTCAAGCCATTAATTCCACATAAATTATCATTGGAAATTGATGTTGACCAAAGAAAATTATTTAAAGCCAAAAGGTTGCCATCAAATAACCGTTCGGTCTCTGCAAAGAATCACATTATTAATATCACACAAAATGATTTAGAAATAATACAAAAATTGGAAAAAAAGGGAGTACAGAAGGTGTCTAATTTGAACCCGATTTCATTCTTAAGCCTGGATGGAACAAATAATGATAAGTTTTCTGAATTCCCTAAAGATTTGATTCTCTCTACGACTTATTGGGATGATGATGCTATTATCAATGCAGGTGACAAAAAATATGAATCTAGAGTGCCTGTCAAGGTTGAGCAAAGATCGCTAGATATAGAATCTGATTACGAAGAAGATGAAAACATTTTTAATGGACAAATCACTGAGAAGAATTTGAAGTTAGACATGAATGACCCTAATTTGTTATTTGTCCCAGATAAGTCAGTATCAGAAAAAACGAATTCCAAGGCTGTCATTCCTACTAATGAAAAGTTATTAGAAATGAAATTCAATATTTCTAACGATAAAGAATACGAAATATTAAAGAATAATTACAATACAAAGGTCAGAAGTCAATTAAGTAACTTAAATATTGAACACTCTATTCCAGCATTAAGGTTACAAACGCCTTACTATAGAGTCAAGTTAACTAAAGAAGATGCCAGGACATTTCATAGGCCTAAATTTAATATAAGGCCAGGTACATTAATAAGTTTTTCTAAGTTGAAATTACGCAAGAAGAAAAAAGATAGAGGTAAAACATCACAAGAAATATTTACAAAGTCTTCAGATTTAACCACCTCAGACACAAGTACACTTATTGGAATGGAATACGCAGAGGAATATCCTCAAATTTTATCCAATTTTGGTATGGGTTCTAAATTGATTAATTATTATAGGAAGGAAAAGGAGGACGATAATTCAAGACCAAAGGCTCCGTTAGGTGAAACTCATGTTCTTGGAGTGGAAGACAGATCACCATTCTGGAATTTTGGACATGTTGCTAAAGGAGATTTTGTGCCCACTCTATATAATAATATGATACGTGCTCCGGTCTTCAAACATGACCCTTCTCAAACCGACTTCTTACTAGTTAGATCTCAGGGTGCTGGTAATCATCAAAAGTATTTCTTGAGAAATATTAATCATCTCTTCGCCGTAGGAAATACTTTCCCTGCGGTGGAAGTTCCAGCTCCTCACTCTAGAAAAGTTACTAATACTTCCAAAAACAGGCTAAAGATGATTGTGTTCCGTGCAATGAATATGAATGATGAATCTCGTGTTTCTGTGAAGACCATTGCGCATCACTTTCCAGATCAAAACGATATGCAGAATCGTCAACGATTAAAAGAGTTTATGGAATATCAAAAACACGGAGAGGATCAAGGATATTGGAAAATTAAGAACACTGATATTGTGCCATCAGAAGACGAGATTAGATCTATGATTACTCCTGAAGACGTGGCTTTATTAGATAGTATGCAATACGGGCAGCAAACATTGGAAGATTTGGCCTTCTTGTTCAGTAATGAAGCAGGATCCAAAAAAGAGGACATGAAGAAGGAAAACAAAAAGGACAAATCTAAGGATGAAAATGCCAGTGATGGAGAAAAAGAGAAAGAAAAGCCAAAAGAGAAGAATGAGAAAGAGAAGAAATCCAAATTAAAAGATAAAGACAATGATAAAGATAGAGATAGGGATCTTGAAGAAGAAGAAGAGCTCGCCCCATGGAATTTAACGCGTAATTTTGTAAATGCTAATCAGACTAAAGCAATGCTTCAACTTAATGGTGAAGGAGACCCTACAGGCATTGGGTTAGGGTTTTCTTTTTTCAGATCTACACAGAAAAGCAGTTTCACCCCATTATTTACACCTGTTAAGGAAAATGTTCCTAAAAATAATACAGCAGCATATCAGCAAAAGCTTTACGAGAATGAAGTTTCAAGAATATGGTATGCTCAGAGAAGGTCTTTGACCGTAGATCAACTGGATGGTCATGATTTGAGTACTGTGTACAATGAATATAAACCAGCTGATCATGACCGAGCAGTAAAGCATAAAATAGCGAAAGATAAAGACATTGCTATTAATGAAGAAATTGGAACTGCCGAAAACAAGGCCCTAAGGATAACAAGAAGATTCCGTGATGAAAATGGTATTGTTCAAAGAAGGGTTGATACTATTACTGATCCAAGATTAATAAGAGCATATATAAGACGGAGAAAACAAATTGAAGATGAATTATTAAGAAATGCAGAGGTTGACGATATTATTCCAACGAATGATAAAGAATTAAACAAGCTTCGTCGTAAGGCATTAGAAGAAAAATTAGCTAGTTTGGAAAAGAAAGCCAAGCTGGGAAAAGGTAGAAAGCCTTCCAAAGATGTATTACACGCGGCTGTAGCTGCGGGTGGGAAGGTTATCGATGCTAACACTGTCATGTTACCTGATGGTTCATATACGTTCGGTGGTAAAGGCATAGGTAAGGGTAAAAGTAAAACAAGAAGATGCGCTTCATGTGGTGCTTTTGGTCATATTAGAACCAATAAGTCATGCCCTTTATTTTATCAAAATAATGAAAAAGAAGCTTCAGCAGAAAGCAACTCTGTAGGTGCTGAAAATTCGGCGCCACCTCCTTCATCTTTTCCTCAGGCAGGACCTTCGGGCCAGTAGGTTTTTCCTCTTGAGTTATTTAAAAGCAGCATTAACAGTTCAGATATATACAAATCAATGACTTAGGAAATTTTTCCATAACTAAATATATTTAAAAATACATTTATTAATAAAGTACGGAAGAGACATTGATGAACAGTATGTTGCTCTACGATTACAAATAAAATAATCTCTTAAATAATATCAATTTTGACTATTTAATTTTACGTAAAATTTCATCATTCATTAATTTTCAAAATATCATACAAAAAAATTACATTCACTTCATTCCATCAGTTATCTTCTACCACCCAGTAACGATAAGGATGAATGTGCATATTCTCGTATACTGGATCAGAATTGACAAAGATCTTTTTGAATGCGGAACGTGAATAATAATAATTGGCCATACAGAAAACTTCGAATGAAATAAGGGAACCACCAAAGAGCATTGCCCTCGCAGGAGTTATTTGTGCTAACATTTTGGATTACAGTTGGATGAAAAATATATATGAATAAATATTAAATGCATGAAGAAAAAGAGTGGGTACCACGAAATATATACTTTGATTGCAAAAAGCAATCCCAGTCACACGTATTTTGCGACCTACTGATCTTTTAATATACGAAATCCTAAATAGTCAATACTTCCTTACACCTTCTCCACCAGGTAATATTGGTAAAAACTGACCAATAATTAACATTGGAATATCAAAGGGGTCTCTTTTAACGGTCCATGCAGAGCAAAATTCAATGTACTCTCTATCTGCCACATCCGAAGCTTCATTGTTAAATGCGGCAGTAGAGTTTTTTATTAATTTACATTTCGTAATAATACTCAGGTGCAAATTAACAACAGCTACCGATTTAAACAATTTAAAGTAATTAATAATTGACTCATCGTCATACATTAATTCCATTATAAAAGTCCGTTTGGATAAAATGTCCGATAAATTAAAGCCTAATATGCTTAGTAAATCGTTAGAAATAGAAACTATCTCACCTGTTCGACGCCATATAATTGATGGAGAAGAATTAAAAAGTAGTAATTTCTCGTAATCTATTAAAGATCTCTGAAAGGACATTTCCAAAAACAATAAGTCGTAGGGCTTCAACAAGTTTTTATGAGCAGAAATAAATGTTGGTCTGTAACTGGCAATGAGCTTTAATATTATTAATAAATTGTTACGTTTGGCCTGTCTCTGTTCTGGTGCTAGAGAGTTTCCCAGAAACCTCCTCTTTAAAAAGTTGGTTAACAGGTGATATGACTGTGGATAATCAAAATTAGTGATACTATGCGTATATATATCTTGGACTGACTGGTATATGTGATGACTTATTAAGGGAGATACATAATCGGTTTTGAGCAGATTGGATGATATGTTGTCTTTGTTTATAATTTCGTTTTTGGTTGTAAAGTTATCTAAACTTAGATTGCCTTCGGGTTGTAAATTTATTGGAGTATCGTTTGAAACGCCTAAAGCTATGAATGGTCTTGAATCTTTTAGTTTATTGAGTTTCCTCTTAGAATTTGAAATGCTCCCTTCATTTGAATTATCAAAACCCAACCTAGTATTATTTAACAATGTATTGGCCGGCGAAATTGTAGCTTCACCATTATATTCAGAAGCACTTGTATTTGATGGAGAAGGTGAGGATGGCTTCGAGTGTAATATAATATCCCCTAACATTAGATATTCTTGATTAAGGTAATTGGAACTGAACATAGTATCTATACTTCTCCTGTTCGAATCTATTTCAGGTTGCTCAGATATCGAATCTCTGAGTGACATCGAATCTGATTCTATTGGTTCACTATATAATAATTTATTCAAAACATCGTTCGTTGTGTCTAGCATTGTATTTGAGGGGGCCGTGGGTCTCTGATCTACGTATTGCAGTAAATTATTTACATCAGACGGGTTCTGCGTTACGCTTGCTTGTTGTATAGACTGTGCATCTCCTTTCGTGTTTGAATCTAGTTCCTGTTTAATAATGCTATGCGTAGATAAATTCTGTGGAGAATCCGTTACACTGGGGGATCTATAGCTTGACAGCATTGAATTTGTCCTTGATTTCACGTTCTTGCCGCTGGATGTATTTAAGTACTTTGCACGTTTCCTAGCAACGTCGTGGCATTGGTCGCCTAAGTTTCGCTTCACACAATTCTTGCAAGGCCTTTCATTAGAACATTGCAAGTGTTTTGAATGACAAAAAACACAGGCCTTGGAGGCCGGTTTCCTGTTTCTTTTTTCGAGTGGGCTAAGCTTTTTAGTCATCGTGACCGTTTCTATAAAATTCCTTTCAATGGTCCCTGTCTTACTGGCTTGAATCTGGGGTTTTAAGAAACTCTGGGGTATTGGATATATTTATTGTAAAAATTCCCGGGAAAATTAGGAAGTGTCCTCGGGAAACTTCGCACAGTTTTTTTTTCGGTGGGGGGAATCAATACTTACCTTAAAGTTAGCAGCTAACTTCAAGCACAATAGTAATAGTGTATGTTAACCTACAGTTCTACATGGCTATACACGTATCCAGGAATTTGTTCACTCTTCTTTTCATATAAATTTAGGGTTATTTGGAGGATCTATCGTTATGGTAAATTACTTTTGTTTATTCGGGTTTGACTCCGCTAAAACACATATCCAGCTCGTCCTCGAATTCCCTTAATTATACTTGGAATTGTTTTATCTGTACATTCTAGATAGAATAGTCTTTGCATTGAAGTATGTACAAATATGTTATCACTTACTGATACTAGTGCCACGAATTCACTATACAATTAAAGACACGGGGTTCAAACTAAGAAGTCTGATCAAGCCAAATCGAAAATGCAGCAAGTACCCCCCTCCTCCCCAGTTTTAAAACCCATCATCAGAGGTAGAATTCGCGTATTTTTCGTTTAGTTAGATCAGTTATGTGGAGGGGTTCACTTCGCATGGTAACTACAAAATCCTGGTAAACAAGATTAAACCAATAGGACTCAAAGGTAAGAGCAACCCTGACTGCATATTGATGCTTTTGGTCTTTTTTGTGGCAGATCACATTTTGTTCGGATTATCTGTTGTTCGGCGTAATTTTCATCCCTCGGCTCATGAGGATTATTATTACGTAAGAAGGTTTAGCCTTTCCTCAATTGCTCTTGCTGCTTGGATCATTTTCGCTTACGTCTGAAGTTAAATAAATACAGAAGGGCCAAAAAATGATCACATTTCTTTACTTGCACCGGCGTTACGCTGACTACTGTTATTACCTTATCTAGATATATTTTACCAAAGCGCAGTGCAATCCAACTACACAGGTGGATGTATTAGCAAACACTCATCAAGTTATCGAAACCAAGCAACTAGCCGTCTCTAATACCTTGCCCTAGCACACTATAATTATATTTATTAGCCTCTTCCAACCGAAAACATCCCTACGAACTTATCCACACTTCAAGCAACTTTATAAAATTTTTCAAATACTACGTGACTCACCTGTCTTCTTCTTCCTTCTTCATTTAACCTCTCAACAGCATAGGTGTCTAACCTAACCCCTACGATTTGTTGCCTGTATTACTGGAATTTAGTTGGTCGAACGCTCAAACCATGCATCGAGTCCCACGTATCCTATGTATCTCTGAGCGTGTAGGCACAAAAAAAATTTTGTGCCTGGAAAATGATATCGCAAATGTTTCTACGACTGTATGCAAGCTGAAGAAAGCCGTGCTCTCGAAGGAACAATACCAAATCCAAATTCTGGTCTTTAACAAGTAACGCATCTTCCCCTATGTCTGAATGCGTGAATCTTGTTCACCCTCACGCTATCTCATACTTTTTAAAAACATCCCTATTCGAACACCACATTGTTAGCCATAGATAGACTATTTCTGAATAAGCTTGTTACTCGAGAAAGCTAGTCCAATTCTATATGCATGGCTTTCGATTACACTAACATGCTTGATTTAGCCGTGCTTCTATCGGAATGATGTTCTCGGGGAAGCAATTTTTCTTGTCATTTTGGAGTACCTACTTCTTTACTCTTCCAAATGACCGACTTACGGTGGAGTGCTCGAACGATACGATATGTACATGTACTACTATTCAAAAAGAGTGTCCTCCATCATGCACTGTCAAATTTTCCACTATTTTACAGCCCACATTATCACTTTCCGCGTAGAGCCTGAGATATTGACCAATGCCGTCTCGCTATCTCTCTTACGATGACATATGTTCACGATTGTTCTGCATATTACCTGAAAATAGGCTGTATTGCTAGGAAAAAAATACATACTAAATCTCCCTGCACATAAAGAATGTCACTATTAAATACCTTTAAATGAAAAATATTTGGGGGACTATATGTTTTTTTTTATATTTTCTCTGGGTAAGAGATTCGATACTAATGATTCTACCTAGGCTTTATAACAAGAGACATAAAAATGGTATTCGATTAATGTTTGTTGCCAGTTTCGTCATACTATCTTTACACAGGTTCTTATCTGACAACGTCGAGCAATACATGCTTGAGAGCCAAGCATTGAACTTGAACCGAGAATCGAGCTTCAATCCACGGAATATAGCGTACGCTGTTTACTCACATATAAATTCGTATAACAATGGAGATGAAATGAGCGATACGGAGACGTCGAAGATTAGTGCGGAAGGTGGAGAAATATACTTCCACTGGGACGATTGGGTTGATTTGCTGCAGATCGACCACATACTTCGAAAATACCGAGCAGAGTCCCCAGAGGGTCAGTGTGATCGGGTGCTCGACAAGTTTGCGAACGTGAACGGGTATTTCATGGAGTCATATAATAAAAAGGTGTCTAGAGGTATGGCGGACTTATATTGCTTGAAGGACACACCAGCGAAGATCATTGCAGTCACGGACGAGTCCATGGTTGAGGTACCGGTCCATGGGAGGAAACGGATTGGTCCATCCAATTTGCCGGCAAATATAACCAAGGACGAGTTGGTGGAAGAGATGCTTAAAGTTCAAAACACGGAACTGTCTAAATTCGAACTGAAGCCATTGAAGAGCGCACAAAAATCTGTCAACGTTAAGGCGGAGGATTTCATATTCAATCCTGACCTTGAGATTTTCAAGTTACGGGAAAAGTTGAATACCGATACAATCAAACTGTCTGAATATACCTATTTGAAGTTTTTGGAATACTCCAACAAATTAGTGGAATATTCGGGCAGATATTTCAAATATCCTTGGATTGTTTCCGACGTGGTCCAAGGACATTCTCATCATCTAGCATATCCTTTCTTTAAAAGATTTATTGGGGATCGTGAAAGGCAAAGTGTACTTCACCACATGATACGAGCATGGTTTCAGTTTGCAGAAGCCGCAGAAATGCCGAGCTGGATAAATTACGGTTCGTTGTTAGGATGGGCACATAATGGTGTAAATATGCCATGGGATACTGATGTCGATGTTCAAATGCCGATTGTGCATTTGGACAGACTAGGAAGAGAGTATAATCAGTCAATTATACTTGAAAATCCAAGATATGGTAATGCGAAATATCTTCTTGAAATTGCGCCTACATACATAAGACAGGGAAATGGTAAAAATTTCATTGATGCAAGATTTATTGATATTAACTCAGGTCTCTATATCGATATCTCTGCTTTGTCTCATTCAGGAAGTTCTCCACCAAATGACTTATTTGACGGATTATCAAAAAAAGAAGAACACAAATCGTTACTGGTTCATTGCAAGAATTGGAATTGGCATACTCTAGATGAGATTTTACCAATAAGACACACCTATTTTGAAGGTGGTGATGCATACATACCGAACAATGTTTCCAGGATTTTGAGTAGAAAATATGGAAAGGAATCATTCACTACAAAAATTCATGCTTTCAATCATAATTATCAAAGAGATATCAGCCTTTGGGTGTCTGATGACTTATGCGAAAGCCCACCTAACATCGATAGGTTCGAAAATGATGACAAAAGTAGATTGACATTAAAAGGTGCTTGTGACGAAATAATTTTACAAGATGAATACCAAATTGCTTATGAATGTACTAAAAGACACAAGCAATTGGAAATTGATGTTGATACTAGTGTAGAATATCAAATAGATGAAAAAGGAAATTTACCTTACTTTCGAAAGGATGCATGGGATTATTATAACGACATAAATAATAATGTTGTTAATCATGACCGATGGTATATAAGAGAAGATGTTGTCTAGCATTAATTTCACAATAAGTATAACTATAGTAATTATAAAACATTGTAGTTTAATTATAATTAGATTGTTTGAGCAAGCAACAGTACATGTTGACAGCTTCCACCTTTAGAAATTCTAAAATAACCCATAACTGGTAATTATTTATCATTTACAAGGATTTCTTTCAGTAAAACAAATTTTTATAAAGTTTCTAGTAATAATCATGCTTGAAATGTGGATCGCAAAATAAAAATGCTCTAGAGCATATTTTGATATGTTCTCCTCCAAGGACTACTATTTATTTAATTCTCTAACTAGCAAGCTTTGCAATTCAAATTGACCGTCTACATTACTTCCTATCTCAATTTGATGTGGATAGTTGCCTTCACTCATGAAAAATGTGTTCGTCATAGTTTGAGTACCATCATTGAAATATAACTCTATAATATTTTTATCAACTATTCCATAGATCTTATAGACGGGAATATCGTTTTCAAAATAATGCGCAGGCTCCACGTAAGTTGAGAATTTGTTTGTAAAATACGGGTTGCTATTAAATTCTACTTTCGGAATGTCACGATTAAAGTAGAATGCAGACACACTTGTGTCAAACCCCAATTTTATTGATTCGGTACTTGAATTCGAAGCCTGTGAATGAATCAAAATCTCTAATTTGGGACTAGAGTTGCTGCCACTCCCCTGGAGAACTTTAAATGTAGTGTTAAAGTCAAGTAAGCCTGTCGAAGAGCCGAAGTCCGTAATAATCGTGTTATTCTTAGTCAACAAATGATTACTTTTTTCAACTTTGTCAGTAACATTAAGATTATTTAAAATTGGGGTTTGAATTAACGTTAGTATCTTTGTCTCAGCATTTTGATGAACATAGTCCAAAGTATACTTCCTAGCCAAGGACATCGAGCTTCTCCATGGATTAGTAGGCACAACGTTGGCATATTGCCAATTAGATGCCCACGCTAAACCGACTACGTCTTTCTCATTATCGCTGAATGTTTGGAAAGCGTAAAAGTCTTTTCCTGCGTCCATAAATCTAGTCACTGAGTCGTCTTGTTTGAATTCAAAGCCATCAAAGTCCCCAATAAAATATTGGTTCGTAGATCCACCATTTGGAGAACCTGGGTTAATTGCCAAAAACATAACCCATTTGAATTCATTAGTGTTTTCAATAGGAATCTTAATTAATCCTGGACATTCGTATTGATTTCCTAAATAACCAGATGTAAAGTTAGAATGTAAATCCCAGGTTTTCAAATCACGAGAGCCAAATATCTGGATTTTGTATTCTTGAGATTTCAGAACAACCATAATCCATTGGTCCGTATCACCATGCCAGAAAACTTTAGGATCACGGAACTGAGTAGAATTAACATCTATCACAGGATTTTTATCATATTTAGTAAATGTCTCTCCTCCATCTAGAGAATAGGCGATATCTTGCGTTTGAGTTTTTGGCGTCGAGTTGGTATATATTGCAACAACCCTCTGATCTTTGTCAATGGATTCGTCAAAAAATCCTGACGTATTATTATGATCAATCACGATGCTCCCAGAGAATATTCCTTCATCATCGTTCTGAGGACCAATTGCTACCTGGTGTTCTTCCCAATGTGTCAAGTCCTTAGAGCTAGAATGTCCCCAGTATAATGGCTCTCCCCAGATTGTATCATTTGGGTTATACTGGTAGTATGCATGCCAAAGACTGGTTTTTTTGTCATAAAACAAGCCATTCGGATCATTCATCCATCCCACATTAGGAGTCAAGTGAATTAAGGGTCTGTTATATGCAGACGTATCTTGTTCCGTATTGACAAACGAAGCAATTGCTGGCTCTAAGAGAACAATCAGCAATAATGAAGTAACCAAAGAGTTTATTTTCATTTTGAACGGTGTATATTTCTATATATTCACTTTAAACAAGTGAATATTTGGCCGTTTTATACCATAATATCTTTTTCAAGAATTATGGTTCGGATTATCTACATACTTCTGTGTCCCGCAAATAGGAGAAGACGAATTCTTCAGATGGAAAAACAACTACCAAAAAAGTCTACTTTTGTAAAGCCTGCATGTTTTCTTACATCAATAAGCATGAAATTCCTGCCAAGCAGAACCTTGAAAGCGAGAAGTCTATTGTATCTAATTGTCAAGCAATACGTTCTCATATTATTCAGAGCGAGAAATTATCCGCGCGATCATTATTCTCAATTATGGGGTAATTAAGCGTATTCAAATGCAAGAAAACAAATAACTACATATACTATCCAAAACTGCGGGAATCACAATTGGTGGAGTTAAATACCTTTCCGGCTAAGCATAGATGCCATACAACGATTGGATCCAACATGGAAGTTAATAAGTAATCATGCAGGAACAATGCTCTTCGGAAGATTTACAGTATTGCGAACGCACCCAAAACACCCAAATATCAGCTCGAGTACAATAAACTACAACCCTATTTACGTGTGGAGAAGTCTTCAGACAATAGCCTGTATGATCTTTTATTAAAATGTCGGGATTGCCTAACCAAATCTCCAAGAAATGATTTAAATAGAACAATAATCTTAATGTAATTGTAGAATAAATTGGTAGTTAAACAACTATGGTGTTCCTCAAAAAATTAGTAATTATTTCGAGCCTTTTTATCGGCTCTACAAGAGCGTACGAAAACGGATTAGGTCTTACGCCTCAAATGGGGTGGAATTCCTGGAATATCTATGGTTGTGATATCAATGAGACAGTTATTATTGAAGCAGCCGAAAAAATAAAAGAATTAGGGTTACAAG